CAGTTTAAGAGCTCTAAACTGAACTGACTGATAAGACGAGAGCTCTAAACTGACACTGAACTGACTGCCAAGCAATCAGTCAGTCAGTCAGTCTCATCAGTTTGGATTGATTGTTAGCAACTCTGGTGCTAGACACAACGAACAATTGACTCCTAACACTTGGTCGATTCATGTAGAGCGGGACTGTCGCATCTATTACGTCGAAAGTCGTGTACATAGCAAGTGTACATGCCAAACTTGTGTTCTCCCATCCGTCACTTGGTTTTGGCACTACAAGTCCTTGATCAACTTCACCTTGTGAAGTCCAGCCAGCTATCTCATCGGATGCCGGAGACGTCGATTGGATGGCTTGGATGTCGCCGCCGCAGAAGGGCCAGCCTAAATCGTCTGTTTCTCCTCTTTTGCCGCCGCTCTCCAAAGGAGGACACACCAAACAATATATCTGTACGGAATGGATATAACCTGTCCATGTAGTATCGGACTCCGGATTCGATCCGATGAAAAGCGGATCTATGATGTCGTGTATCTGAACGGGAGCGGTCCCTGGTCCAAAGCCATCGACAGGGTAATTGTCTCTGTCGTCAAGCAGATATTGCAGGTATATCCTCATGTAATCAGACGGGTTGTTGCCGGGTTTGAATGGTTCATTGGTGAATGCTGGCCAAGACGGTGGATCTGGTCCTGGAGCAGGAAATTGGAGTTTAGGAATATTCGCGATCATGACTGTTACTATGGTGGCTGGTGAATCAAAATGCGCGCCATTATCTCGAAGTCTTGACAGGACGAAAGCCATACTATATATGCCTCCAGGCACCGAGTTGTGAAGTTGTAACTTTTACCTTTTAGGAATACCAAGAACCGTATCGTTATCGTATGGAACGCCACAGCGTACACAAAACTTGGTGTTCCGGCCTCGAGTTCCATAACCGAGAGGGTGCATTTGCAGGATTGGTGGGAACGCCATTGGCGTTACCGTGCAAGCCCTTTTTCATGAAGCGCGTGACATATGGGCTGGGATCCTGTTGCGCAATGGCTTGGTACATTCAGCCTCGTAGGGCTGTCTCCATGCCGCATACCCGCATGATAAATTGGTCGGGCATATGACGCTACGCGCTTCAATCGACTATCATGCCAAGTTCAGAGGCAATCCGACGAAGAGTCCCTTCGCAAGCCTACTGTGAGGATAATCCGTTCCGAGACTGGTGCCGAGTAATTGTATCCTGATCAGTCGGAAGACTTGGGTTGGCGCAATCACGCGAATGAGAGCGTGCAAGTACAACAGCAGTCTGCATGCTCGGTCGAGGCATACCCTGGGGCTTCGGCGTATGTTGGGGTAAGCTAGGCGTCCCAAAGACTGATTATCTTTGTAGTCTCAATTGTGGAGGAGATCACCTTCAGCTATGAACATGTGCTGGAAGAGAGAAGTAAGGGCAGTGCAGAAGACGTGTCTAGGTCATCCTGACTGCGGCAAGAAAGGTATGGCCGCCATGAGAGGATGATAAGCTACACACGTGAGATAGAATTCCTCTTCTTAGACAAAAATAAGGATTCGAAGCTGAGGGGCGAGTGGATGTGAAAGAGGTGCAAGCTTCTTAACCCACCCAGTCGCCAGTCGTATCTTGACCCAAAGCACCAACCAATGACCGTTGCCATACACATCGGGCCCCGTCAAGCCCCCTCAAGAAGACCTCAAGGCAATTCTAAACACCCGTGGGGCCAGTCGTATCCTGGCGTTTTCGTATGAAACACCGTCAAACTTACGTGGCCTCCACCGCCACGTCTGTGCGCCACACTGTGGCTGGCCAATCAGCCACATTACGACTAGGATCATGACGTTTGAGCATGCGCTCAGTAAGGTTTACGCATGGGCGTGGTTGCCATACGATTGTTTATAAGCGCGTGAGTGCCCCAGGGAATGATAGTCATTCAAAGGATACGGTTGCTTTTATTCTTTCACACACACACTCCGTTGTACGACTCAAAGCGCAAACAGCCGTCAACTTTGGAATATCGCGAACACATCACCGAGTACATCAAGGCGCGAGAAAGAAAGAAATTACGAAGATGATTAAAACACTCCTCTTGATCCTGATCACTATCTTCAGTAAGCCCTTCCCCTGTCCATTTCATGCGCGAAACCTTTGTTAACGAATCTACAGTTCCACCTGTCGGAGTCTTCCTCGTAGCGGGATGCGGCGCCGACTTCTTCATCAACCTGCTCCTCACAATTCTCGGCTACTTTCCCGGCCACATCCACGCCTTCTACGTCGAATACGTATACATTAAGCGACGCGACGAGATACGCGCCAGCATCTACGAAGCGCGTCCTGCGCCGGGTATCTACAGCCAAAAAGTGCAAAATGGTGGTCATAAGACGGTGCCTGTTGCGCCCGCACCTGCCGGAGTCGAGGCAGGATATGGGGGTGTACCGGCACAACAAGGCTATGTTCAGGAGCAGCAGCAGGGATACGGAACGGTGCATTAGGCTATGAACAGAAGAGTTGAGGGTTGAAGTGAAGGTTGGAACATGAGGTAATGGGGCCTGGGGTCAGGGTTGTCGGTAGAATGTGTTGGGCATGCGCATGCATGTAGACAGGATAATAGGCGTTGAGCTTGAGCTTAGCTTTGATTCTTGCGATACCACTCGTTTTGAGATATCCGAGTTCTTCATAATGTAACTCACTTGTTTCTCCGCACATCATACACCAAGCAACGGGTCGTCAGTTATTGCTCGTGGTATTGTACATATATGTACAGTATGCTCGCCATGGTACCCTGGTACCCGAGCTGCTTTGTTGTGATACACGCTCGTGACTCTACCTCTTCTTGCCTCTGCCCTTCTTCTTGCCACCCATCATGGCGGCTGCAGCGCCAGCACCCTTCTTTTTCTGTCCTTCTGCCGTACCCAGCGCAGCCTTCTGCCTGAGATACATCCTGACGACATTCTCCACACTCCCCCTGTCGTGCTTGACAGTCCTCATGTACGTCAACCTGGCGCGTCTCGCCCTCTTAGCAGCACGCTGCACAACCTCGATACCCTCTACCAATGGGCTATAGACCTTGTACCACATCTCTACACCCACGCGAGTGAGTTGGCCACGTAGGAGGATAGCGGTGTCGGTACCACGGCGTCGGATGTTGATGCATACACCAGCAAAGGGATCGCCGGTGCGTTGGCGTACAAGTAGAATGTCGCCGACTCGCGCGCATTCTGGGTTGTCCTTTGCGAAGAGGCGGGTTCGTGCGCCTGTGGGATCGAGCAAGCTTATTTGCGAGGCGTTTACCGCGGAGATGGGATCTGGACAAGTCTTTTTGATGTTGGAGGCTGTCGGTCTGAGGACGGGGACGCCGAATTGATGGCCTATAGGGTGGAATTAGCACTTTTGTTGATATATACAATCCAATCTTGTAATGCATGCATTGACGTGACTGGCGACGAAAAGGGCGGTCGTACTCAATCTCCGGTCCACGCTCTTCTCCTTCATTACCGGCTGCCACTTGGAATCGATAGGCTTTTTCTGTTTCCGACGCTTGATGGTCACCAACTCTCCATCCTTGAATTGGCCATCTTCTCCATATAACGTTGGGTACAAGGCCCTGTGCAACTGTTGACTCAGGTCTGGCTTCCGTGTTGATAATCGCTGTTCACGCTTGGCGGGCAATATGGGTGTCGTGGGCGTTGCATCGACAGCAACTGCATCAGTACTCGCGAATCGTTTACATCGTATGGCTCTGAAGGCGACACGCTGGGCTGCAGCCCGCGTGCAGGGTATGGCGGCTGACATTGGCGGGCGGAGGTGGAGTAGTCGACATGAAGTTCAGCTTCAGGAAATTCGATGTCGCTTATGTCAGCATTCATCCATTCCGCACAGCTTGCATTGATTCGCTTTCCCATCACAACCACATGTTTCACTGATATCTTGCATTTTTATCTCGTCATCGTATGTGTCCATGTATCTTTTCAAACTAAAATGTATGCCAGACCACCGTTGTGCAGTGCACTGACCACAACCGGTGTGAACGTCGCTTGCACTTCCGTATCGCTTCTATCAAACAGTCATGTGCACGTCTCCCTAGTGGAGTGGATTAAAAAGAAAATAACTTTTGGAAATGCAGATCACCGCCAGTCCTGGTATACTGCAGCGCATCCGCCCATGCTAAACAAAAAAAGGCAGCCCAAACACCATGCTTGCGCGAGGTTAGGCAACAAAACCACGAGTGGACAAAGATAACCAGACAGGCCCGCGGAGAGAACCCGGGACTTCCGTCTCAGGCACCCCATAGCCATGCAATTCACCGCTTTTCTACCCCGATACTCCAAAGGAAAGGTAAGGCCAGACGCCGTTGAGATGCTACCGTCCGACGCCGATGGAACTAAGGTGACATGTCGAACCGAAGGAATTAAAGTCGCGCCTGGTTGAGTTGCTCGCTTAAACCTAGGACAACGTTGGAATGCTGAAAGATCTCGCCCTGGAAGATGAAGCCAGCCGTCAGCAATTGATCTGTTCAAAGTCGATCTCGATCTCTCTCCTAGGCGTCTCTACCTCTTCCATCCATGTAAGACCGTTGGCAGCCTCTTCCACCGGGAACACCTCCTGGGCGTACTCCTCCATGGAGCGGTTTCCTTCCCACAGCTCAAGAGAGACCTTGGGAACGTCTGGCTCAAGATCAGGTCCAAAGTATGGCGCGCCCTTCTCTCCCAGCGTGTATTCCAGCGCGGAAAGGTGCTCCCGATAACCTGTGGGTGTGGGCACGTTGATCATTATGGGGCCCCGCTTGTAGCGGACTGGTCTCCGGAGACCAGTGCTAAAAGCTTTGCAGACTTCTCTCGGGGTCATGGATGCAAACGCAAGGGGGATCCTAAACTAGTCAGTACATGATCAAAAATTACTCGTGCACTTCAGCTTCTCTACAACGCAGCCACGTCATAGCAGCAAATGAGAAAATGACAGAAAATTTGACGGTTGACGACCGGTGATGCGACGCCACCAGATCGAACCACTGTGGAGACTGTCCGCATGATGTGGACCAGGACATGCAGACGCAGAGTACGCTTACCGCTTGCCATTCCACTTTCGTGGACCTTCCTTAAATAGTTGGTATACGGCTGGCCCTATATCGTGTTCCGAGTCGAGCCAGGGTAATGGCTGATCAGGGTGAAAAGGAGCTTGCCAAACGAAACTTCCATCGTACTGATGCTCCATGCGGAAGAGCGGGAAATCGAGGCCGGTAAAATTATTGTGGTAAATACCGCAGTAAACGAAAGTCGCAGGCAGACCAATTTGGCGGATGTATTGTTCGACTGTGAATTTGGGTGCCCATAGCGGAAGCGCTCTCCAGTTGTTGCCGAACACAGAGTGGTCTGGCATGCTCGAATAGATGTAGTGTTGAATTCCGGCTTTCTTTGCGGCATCGGCAAGCGATCGACCAATAGCAACCTCGTCTCCCCAGTGTGTGGTATTTATGAACGCACATTGCGCGCTCTTGAATAGATCGTCGAGAAATTTCTTGTCCTCCAGCGCGCCAATGTATACAGTGACATTTTCCAATTCAGACAGCTCCCGTGCAACTATTCCGTTCAGGTCTCGCATTTGCGCTCGAACTTGCCATCCTAGTGCGGCGGCCACGCGAATGAAGCTCGCCGATTGGCGGCCATTGCTGTTAATGGTAACAACGGTCCTTTGCATTCGTGTGTCGTTGAATTTGAATGTTGGGCAAGACAAAAAGAGTAGTCTAGAGAATTTTCTCGGGGTCCTGTAGTGGTTGCGACTTTCGGAAGGATAGTCGTGGGTATATAAAACGCAAACAGAGCCAAGGCGCGAGGATACCGGGGAGTTGTCACCTGGGGCTCCGGGAAGTAGGCGGCAGCTCAATGGCGGACGAGGGCGAGATAAGGATTTGGTGTAAGGGTAGTCGTAACCTTGGGTTGGTTTCGGTTCGGCGGCGTCAGCGATGCCGGTTCGGCGGGCAGACGATAACGTGCTTGCAACACACAAAGGTGGTCAAGCCTTTGGTAGTGCGATCGATGGGAGGCACGTGAGGCGACTTAGACAGGGTTGCGCGCGAAGCTAGTTGTCGTGTTCTGAGGTTGAGGTTGCGGTCCGATTCATTTACCTTTGACGTAGACACACGCAATGCTTAAAGAGCAGAGCTACGGTCGAGGACGCCGGCCGGAGAAACAGGAGAAGCCCAAAACCGAGCCGTTTTTTGTATGACATTACAGCCAAGTTTGGGCTCGTCATTTGCGTTGCTGGGAAAAGCCTTACCTAATAGTCCACCCACAAGGGCGAATAGGCTCCGCTTGACATCGCGAACACCTGACCACGCCTAGTACTTACCACAGTCGGTCAGCGCAATATGCCCGTAATGGTCCACTTCATCACTCGAGGCTCCTAGAGTTGCCATACTGGGCAATTGTGGAGCTATCGTTCAAAGTCGCGTTTCGTTTTTTCGACACGCAGTACTATGCATACACAAGCGAGCAACGTGCACTATCTTCAGACTGCAACGAGCTTGGTAGGCTAACTCATAGACGAGGTCTCCACAGTAGAATCTGCTCGTAACGCAAAGAAATCGAAGAGGGGCAGTGTCTGCGAGTCAATGCGGGGGATACACTAAGCTCAGGAACCGCGAGTAACGGGTGTATGGAGCCGCCAGAAACAGTTGTCCTATCCACGATGCTCTGCTCGGAGCCACCCACCGTCACCTGTAGAGAACGTGCTATCATCGAGTTACTCCGAATGTAAGGGCCATCACGGTGTCAGTTCTTGGCACAGAGATTTCTTTTACTAACTGAAACAAGCTCCCGAGGTCTCCATCCCCCTAGCGGGAGGCCCTGGTCTATGTACATCCTCAATCTATATGGGGACACGCACTTGGACAACTTCCCCACACCAATAGTTGGCCTCTCCAGCAGCATCATTTGTGTATATCTTCATGTCCACGTCGACCCTGGCCAGACCGGCGTTACAGTATAACAGGTGTCAAACATCATCTGCTCATGTTGGCGGCAACGTTCCGAGTGGGTTGTGCTCATTGATAGCAGCCGGGATATTGTCGCGTAACTCCAATGATTCACGCCTCTCAACGCCGCAGCAAGCAGCGTACGTCGGGCTGATCCCGGTGCGTCACCAGACTCTGGGGACTGACGTGCCATATATGGCGACATTTCGAGGCGCCACGCACCCATCTGATAGACACTCCGGTCGCTAGGCTGCAGCCAACGAGCAGCCACCATTACCCGTGCTCCCAGCAGTACTCAACGTGCTGCGCGCTTATCCAATCACACGTGCCCAAACTTCAGCGTTGCCGTCGCCCTCTGATGCATGCAGCTTTGCGGCACTGACTTCATCGCTGTGAAGATGGGCTCCTGCGTCGATTAATGTCTGTACGTGATCTGGTAAGCCAGCGGCTGCGGCCAAGAAGAGCGGGGTATTTCCTGATCGGTTTCGAAGATGCACGGAGGCGCCTTGAGCTAGAAAGTCTCGCAGAATCTCAACATTCGGGCTTGTTGCCGCAAGATGCTACATGGGCACGTCAGCAAGGAACGCAATCTCGCGCGGACGGAATAAAGTCACTCCAGAACCGGATGCAGTGCAGTGATGGGCTGAAAGATAAGCGACTGCGTCTTGCCGCACCACTGGTACACGGCTGAGAGCTGTTTGGCTCTGTTCCTCTGATGCCGACGGCCTCTCGCATCTTTATCTTGATAATGATGTATGCGTTGCCTGTCTCGGAATGCTGCTAGCCATGCTCTAGATATTGTGCGCCCGATTCCGATACCGGCTCTTACATGATACAGGAACAACGGAGGCATCGCAACATGTGCGGTTCCTGGAAAGTAGAAAGAAGAACAAAGATAGGTATATGAGTGCTGACTGGACGGAGAGGCACTTACTACAGGACTGTTCATCTGATAATCGGCATCGTTGAGTAGCCATCGAGGCTCTCCTCGAATAATGTCTTTCGTCGCTTGCAGATCGCCTTTTTGAACAGCATAGCCGAGCGCTGTAAGACTTGAGAGCTCAGGGGTAAGAACACCGCTCCTTGATGGGTGCTCAAAATGGGTTCGTGTCGTCTCAGTAAGCTCGCCACGTAGCGAAACAGACATGCGCTTCGCAACTTCCTCGGGTGTAGCATCCGGTAGTGCAAGAAGGTAGGCTAATTTGGTGAGCGCTGCTTCTGAGGTTAGATCTTGGCCAAAGACGACTCCAGCACGACCAAGGAATGCCCCTGGTGCGTATAGGGCGCTGACACTGCCACTTAAACACTGTGTGACATTTACAATCACAATCCCCCTTTTCACTGCGTCTGCTAAGCATCTAGTCATTGCGCTATCTGGTCCGCCTGGGGTATTTCCGGCTCCAAAGGTCTCGAGCACTAGCCCTTTAAGGCCTTCCAAACGCAGGACTGCATCCACCATCGCTGGTGTAATGCCTGGGAACACGCGTAGACAGGCTACATGTGCTGTATCCAGACTCGTCTGGATGGTAAAGGGTCTGAGATCGACGGATCTATGAACGCGATGCCACAGGACATTGGTCTTTGTAGAGGATACAGTTGCCAGTGGTGGTAAGTTTGGGCTACCAAACGCATCAAAATCTTCTGCGGATACTTTGGTGGCGCGATTTCCTCGGAATAGTTTGAAGTTGAAGAAAAGACATACTTCAGGTATCATAAAGTGCCCGGCGATGATCAGAGAATTCAAGAGGTTATCTTGCGCATCGGTTTGCAAGTTCATCATTGGCGCTTGTGATCCTGTCAAAATGACAGGCTTCCCCAGGTTATGGAACATGAAACTCAAAGCCGATGATGTATAGGCTAGCGAGTCTGTGCCATGCAATATAACAAAGCCATCGAAGAGTTGGTAGTTCCGTTGGACCGTTCGCGCGATCTGATCCCAGCCATTGGAGTCGATGGAGCTACTATCGAGCAACTTTTCAAACTCAAGTACGCAGTATCGCACGCGGCGTTCATATGTGCTAACCGGAGTCCTGAGACTTTGCACGGCTTTGCGTGTGCCTTTGTCGTCTGTAACAATCTCCAGAGGTTCCGGGTAAGATCCATCATTGAAAACCGGCCTCGGTGCAAGTCCAGCTTTGAGGAAGCCCCGTGCAGGTACCAGTCCGTCTGGAGATTTTCGCATGCATATTGTGCCGCCTACTGAGGTCAGCACTTGATGATTACACGAGGTTTTCTCCATAGATGTGTACCCGTTATAACGATCAGCACTCGTGATTCCGGCAGTTGCAGTTCTGGATATTGGTCGTCCATCTTGTTCAAACACTATGGGGCCTAGGATGTTGTAGGGCCTATCTTGATCTAGCGAGGGCCGGATACAAGGCTGTCTGTAGATGCGATACAAGCTACTCGCTGCGAAAAAGTAACGTCGTGGTAGCTGGGTTCTGTCGATCGAGATTCGCTCGACAGTACAAGTGCCTTCGAAGTTTCGTCACTATTCGGTACCACACAAAGCAAAAAAGATAAGAGCAATGTTGGAACGTAGTCTTGGCAAGATAGCGAGTGGCGTAGCGTAGCGTAGCGCAGCTCAGTGACAGCGATGGACACTGACTATCGGAGAAATCTTGACCATCGTTGTGATCCGTCTTCCCTTCCTCATCGGGCCGAACTAGCAGGCTCGACCATGACGACCCACAATTAGGCATTCTGTTACCCCTTCAAAACCGACTGTATTACCCCTTCAAAACTCGATTCTATTACCCCTACAAAACTGAAAATTTGCATCGTGAAGCAAGGTCAGATCATGCTCGCGTTGGAAAGGCCCGCACTGCATGGGAAGTGTCGGCTTAACATGCAGTTACGTCACGAAAATAGGAAATTTCGGATGCGTGCAGCGACACGTGTGAGCGCGACTGGAAATAGTACCTGCAGCCTACTATCAGAGGTTGTTCTTTTCACCTCTGCACCTAGGCCAGATCGAGGCACAATATATGCACGCCCCCAAACCTCCAAAGCCCTCCCATATCTCTACTCTCTGACTTGGTTTTCACGATGTCCTCTTGGCCGATTCCTTCGCGGCATTTGCGCGCGCCTTCTCTGCACACTTGACTTGTTCCCAATTCTGTCTCACCCACTCCAGAACAGCGTTTTTGTTGTCAGCTGTAACAAACTTTGACCAAATTAGAGGCTCATCGAGGTTGGGCTTGGGTGATATGCGCGGCTGGTCATCTTCGAATACGACCCATCGCTTCAGGCCTTTCAAAACGACAGCCAGAGAGTTGCTTTGTATGGGCACCGCCACTTTGATATCCTTCCAGAGCTCTTCTTCTGTAGTCTTGAGGTCATGCTCTAACAGCATGGCTTCGTACTCTTCCCTCTTTTCGAACAACATGAGAGCCTCTTGCAGTACTTGCTGCCTGGTCCACTCGTTCGCAGCCCCTCTATCTGAATGTAAAGGCATATAATCCTCAACGAAGCGCTGATACATGGGTCGCTTGGCTTGGCGGGCGCGGTCGTTGTGCTTCTCGATACGATCTTCGAAGACCCTATGTGAAAAGAACCTACCTGTAGTTGGATGTACGAAGTCATTAAATGTCTCACATGCAATTTGTACGCGGGAGAACCCTACCGCTGGTGGCCCAATCGAAGAGATCCTTCTCATCCGTGAAGCCGTCCCAGTATTTTGCGACATCCATGCCATAGAACTTGATCATCTTGTCTGGATCTCGTGTCAGGAACAGCAAGGCTTTCTTCTTGTTGTATGGCTCAATCTCTGCTATCCGTACGTGCAAGCCCCGATCGTTGCAGGTAAGGCCCAGCGGACGATGAGAGACACCAACAATCTGCAAGAGATCAGAGTCGCCTTTCATGAAGCGTGTCCATTCGAAGAGCTCGGCGCTTTCTGGGGTTTCATTTCCAACAGAGAGTTCGACGTCAACTTGTACATGTGCATCTGGTAACTCGGGATGTGGTACCGCGTAGGAAGACGATCCACCACGCGGAAGATGATGATCAGCTTGGAGGGTGCCCTGTATTACAGACCATATCCTGTCCTTTGTGTTCGGTGGTCGAATGCCCTCTACCAGGAAGTCAATATCCCCATGGTCTGCTTTGGCTGGGGCATCGCGTGGAACAACTGCAGAGGTGGAGACACCAAGTCAGTGTATGTACCGCGTGCATTTCGTAGAGGCATAACTTACCAACGCGTTCGAATAGCGTCTCTAGAAGGCGTTGATAATGCCCAGAGAGGGTCTGGTACAATGCTGTTGGTAGACGGGGAGTCTGAACAGGTCTTCCGGACTCAGTTGGGACGTTGGCGAATGCGAGACCTCCCATAGCTAGTAAGTACTATGGAGACCGATGGTGAACACCAGAAAGAAGCAAAAATCGTATTTCTTGTCTTGTAGCCCTAGTTACTATTATGCAAAGTAATGAAATGACGCGCTGATAACGATGCGACTGAATGTATGAGAGTAGTGGGGTGTTGCCTATCGTGGGAGTTCGAAGGTGCACAGGCAGAGCTGGAACGAAGTGAAAGTCAGTCATCACCTAGGTAGGTATGACTCCCAGAGTCAAGTCGGAAGCCTTTCGGGGCTCGATCATATACGCCTTTCTGCTACGGAGAGGATATTGTCATGGCTTTGAATTAATATCTCCCGTCTTTACCAGCATGGACTTGATGTGTTCCGGGTTTAGATCATCGACTGCCAGATACCAGATAGGTGGAGAAGATAGAAGGAACGTGCACGTGGGGCGGGACTCTTCCGCATTTTTAAGTGGGGTCAGTGACGCGCGAGCATCCCTGCAGCATTCCAGAAATTTTGAGAGAAATGCTCACAGCTGGACTCTCCTTCACTCAACACAAATCCCAGATCTGATATGTCTGATTGCTGCTCACCTGGCGGCCACTGCTCACATAACATGGACACAAAAATGACGGAAGAGATCTCTGCTCGTTTCGAGGAGCTCGCAGCTCTTGAACATGAGTTTGAGGATGTTGAGGAAGAAATCAGTAAGTCGCAGTCCCACTACTACTACAACACCAATCGCGCACGTAATTTCAATGTGACGAAGTATGCGCCCTTGCAGCGCGTTTCTGCAATGGCGTGCGCCTGCGTGGTCACTCAAGCAAGAGACAAGGCGTGGCTAACACGACTGTAGTCCGCCAAGCTGAAGCTCTCCAAAGCCCTCTTTACCAGAAGCGCGCCGAATTCATTAAGAAGATCCCGCATTTCTGGTCGCTCGTCTTCGAGCAAGCGCCTCCCGAGATTGACAACTTCATTCAACCCACCGATTCCAAGGTTTTCGCCGAGTGCCTCGAGACCTTCGAGGTGTCGCGATTCGAGCTTAACGACCCCAATGGCTCCCCACGCAGCTTCTCGTTCAAGTTCGGCTTCGCCGACAACGAATACTTCGAAGACAAAGTACTAGAGAAGAAGTTTTGGTTCAGGAAGACAAAGGACTGGCAGGGTCTTGTTTCCGAGCCTGTCAAGATCAACTGGAAGAAGGGCAAGGACCTTACCGCCGGTCTAACAGACGCAGCATACAAGCTTGGCGAGACAAGAAAGAAGATAACAACAGACACTGCCAAGGGCGCCGCTTTTGAAAAGGAGGTCCTGACCGACGAATACCAGGATCTAGCAAGGAAGATTGAAACAGCTACAGATGCCTCAGTTAGCTTCTTTGGCCTCTTCGCTTTCGTATCAGGCTACCGATGGGTGAGTGCCGAAGAGTCTGCACAAGCTGCCAAGGAGGAGAAGGAAAGATTTGAGAAGATCAGGCGCGGTGAAAAGGTCGATGACGAGGATGATGATGAGGAGGAAAATATGCGGGACTTTCAGGAGATCGAGGTCTTCCCAGGCGGTGACGAGGTTGCTACTATCATCGCCGAAGATATGTGGCAAAATGCTATCAAGTACTACAGTAGGTTGACGTGCACCCGACCGCACCTTGTATATCACTGACAAATCACAGAGGGCACCTTCGACGAGGATGAAGACGATGAAGATTTGTCGGATCTCGATGTTATGGATGCCAGTGACGATGACGAAGGCGATGACCAAGAACCAGTCGATATCCGCGCGTTGGTAGGCAAGGGTCGCAAGTCAGGTCAGGAACCGCCATCGAAGAAGCAGCGCAAGGCTTAAGCATGATTACCACGATAATACCCTCATACATTATTTCCCATCCTTCCTGTGTAAGGCGCAGATTTTATACCCAGCAAACCTTACGATATCTCGCCTGCGTATCTCTCATGTAGCTATGGTCTCAACGAGAATACTTGGTCGATACCGAATGTTGTACGCGAAGGATGCGACAGTCGCGGCGAAATACAACGAACTACAATACCAATCTTTTACATCTTCGATATCTGTGTCGCTAATAATCGACTTCACCACTCGTTAATCTGCGCTTGTTATATCCGCATCTTCCTTTGTCGTTTGCTTCACCAATGCTCTGGCCAAGCTCCGGTCAACGGTCCGCTGATGCCTTTCGCCTTCCTTGTGACCGTTCACCTTGCCGTCTAGGTACGCAGTTCCGCACAATATTTCTTGGAGACTCAGCAATCAGTTAAGGTGGTCGCTCCATTCCCCGCAATAGCTCCGCCCATGGCTTCGAGAAGCTTTGCCTCCACCAATCATCTCTCCCCATCTTCACTCTATGCCTTTTTCGGCACGGAATCCACGCCGGTTCTTCCGTCGACCTATCCATTGATGACGTCCGCAAGCTGCGAGTGAATCCTTACCTACGAACGGTCTGTACCGCGATGAAGCTTGGAGTGTGCCTTAGCTCGTCGCCATTGACCAACGATTGACTTTGCTGGCTCCCGCAGTCCACTACATCGGACGTACGAGGATCTTTTCGAGCATTTGCTTGAGGGGTTCCATGCACGCCGAGCTCAAATTTCCGGGTAATGTCCATCTACCCAAGAGAATGGTGCCTGAGAGGTCCATGTCAGCGCGGAGGTCTATGAAACTATCCGGTATGATACGGATAGGCCTCGTTGAGGTACTTACCTTAAGTACCCTCTGGTCCGTACTGTCTATTGAAGCATCTATTTTGCCGTTTCAGTCCGAATCCTTAAAATGGACCAACTACTGCCTTTGTTTGGCCTTTTGATGCTCTCTACACCGGTTGGTGCTCAGAGCAATGGAACAGCAACTATTTCCTATGCTTTGCCTGCGGGCTACACAACCGCAAGTTTCAACGCCTCTGCACAACCTACTGCCTATAACCGCACCGATTTCTCGCCCAATGCCCTCGCAAGTCTCTGGGATATGGTAGGGCCAATTGTGACAGGCCCCATCACCACCACCGTCACACCAACTCCAGAGCCAACGGCATACCCACAGCCAGATCCCCAATACTATCATGCTTTGGTGGGTAGTGGATACCCAGAAGCACAGGGCTTGAAACTTCCCGAGAACTTTCAATGGGGGTTCAGCTCCTCCGCATATCAGATTGAAGGTGCGGCTAAGGATGAGGGCAAAGGACCCAGTATCTGGGATCTGTTGGCACACAGAGGTAAGTCTTGGGTGTCAGAAGTGATTTTGAGACGTATATTGATTTTTTCAGTCCCAAATTTTGTGGCCGACAATACGACTGGCGATGTCGTTGATCAGCACTACTATCTATACAAACAAGACTTTGCTAGATTAGCAAGTCTAGGAGTTAAAGCTTTCAGTCCGAGTTTCTCTTGGCCGCGATTCTTCCCGTTCGGCCACGGTCCAGTCAACGAAGAAGCCATTGCGCACTACGATGACGTGATTGCTACTATGCATGAAAATGGCATTCACCCCGCTGTTACATTGTTCCATTGGGATACCCCACTCGCCATATTCAATGAATACGGTGCTTGGACCGACCGTCGGGTTGTCGATGACTTCTTCAGTAAGTGTTGTTTTACGATGTGCAGGTGAGGCATACACTGACTTGATACCTCGATATGTAGACTATGCCAAGTTTGTCATCACACGATACGACGCCTACGTCGATGAGTGGTTCACGATCAACGAGCCTCAGTACTGTAACTGGCAATATGCAGGTTACCCAGCAGGCGAATATTACCCTGCACCGAATGGCGTCACTGGTGGCAATGAAGCCCGCTTCCTGTGTGGTCATCACACTCTGCTCGCGCACGCGAAGGTATCCAAGTGGTATCACGAAGAGTTCAAAGGTCGGGGCCGCATCACCTTTAAGAACAGTGGAAACTATTATGAAGCCAACAGCACGAAGCCAGAAGACGAGGTCGCACGCCAACGAAACTTTGACTTTAGCATTGGCTGGTTTGGCGGACCATGGACAGATGGTGACTATCCACAGTCACTTAAAGACACACTTGGCGACCTATTACCAGAGTTCACACAAGAGGAGAAGGACATGATCAAAGGATCGTGCGACTTCTACGCCATTGACCCTTACTCGAGTTTCCTGGCTTTTGAGGTCGACGGCGGGCTGGAGTCGTGCACAAGCAACCGCTCACACCCGGCCTTCCCTGATTGTGCTGGCTCAGCAAGTGTGGCCCCGAACGGCTTCCCCATCGGTCCTGCCGCTGACCCAGCCATGTCTTGGTTCTACTCGGCACCTGCAGGCGTCCGTCGGTATCTAAAGCATATCACTCAGGTTCTCTTCCCTTCGATTCCGGATATTGTTGTCAGCGAATTTGGTTTCGCGGAGCCTTTTGAGGGGCAATGGTCAAACCTGAACTCGGCGCTCTGGGATCTGAAGAGGGCAGACTACTTCCAGCAATATCTAGACAACATCCTGCTGTCGATACATGAGGACGGTGTCAACGTGACAGGAGCATGGGGGTGGTCGATTTTGGATAATTTTGAGTGGGCGCTTGGTACGTCGGTTAGGTTCGGAGTGCAGTACGTGAACTACACGAGTCTGGAAAGGACGCCCAAAGCCAGTCTGTTCCAGTTCCTGAACTGGTTCAAGGAGCACGAGGCGGGTGGGAACGCGACAATGAGGATGTAGACAAGATCAAGAGCGAATACAGGAGTGTAACGAACCATCAAGTATAACAAGGACAAGAACAGATATGCTATCCTAGAAACTGGCGAGGGATGTTGGATGAATTCAAAGGTTGTGGTTGATTAAGCGGCAGAGTGCAGGCCATGCTGGATGTCGACCAGCATGACAGCGCGTACATACCCTGTTTCACATGACGTGTTGTCCTTGGCTGTCTTCGTCAACAGACATGTTGGGGCGTAGAAATGGCGCTTTTGCCGCGATAGTAGACGCGATCAAAGGGATAGCGAGCACTCTGGCGCATCCGTGGGCAGTGCCATGTCTGGTGTGTGTTAGCTCGCTTTCTTATCGCGCGATTAGGTCCCTTGTGACAAGAACGGCTCCACCCGGTCATCTTGGTGCGCGTGCCTGCATTTGAATGCCATACAAGAGCTTGTAACCATGCTCTGGTGAATAGACTCAACTGTGAACGTGTCTGCCTTGAATACCTGCGGGATCGAGTGATTTACACCGTGTTGGGTGACCTATTACACATCGCGGCTGCCACTTGGCACATGAGCTTGACGCATCCGGTTGCGCCTAGGTCCCCAGCTACGGAACCTCGATAAACTACCTGACAACCACCAAGGCGACGGCCAGAGGCTCCTGCAGCTTCCACACAGCCGTACATCAGCACTTTCTTTGTCAGCGCAGCTCCAGCAGTTGTGTAGTCACCCAGGGTCCACGGCCCCGACGGCGGCATCGTCATCTCTCGGCTCGCGACATCGCCAGCTGCTCCAAACCTCCGAGCTCACGTCGGCAACCTCACTAGCTCTCCGGGGCCTACAACGACTCCACGCACACTACACCACCGTCTCTTCGCTCTGAACTGCCTATGCCAACTACCTAATCCCAAACACAACGCCCTGTTAGGCACAGCGCTGCCACCAACCCATACCCGCGTCATCTGCGGGTAACCAGACCCAGCGTTCGTCCTGGCAGACGAAACCACCCCAAACTCTCCCTCCCCAATCGCCTCCGACCGCCCATCCACCCCGAACTCCCCCGCTTCATCTTCCCCCATAATCTCTGCCCCTCCCAACCAAGCCGCGCCCTCCACTCGATCCTCGTACCAAGCCAACGCCACCACTATCCCGTCCGAACACACTACAGCCGGGAAGCGCAGGCACAGCTTCTCTGGTAGCGACGAAGCCGAAGAAGAGCCTCTGACAAGCGGACCCAGAGGCAGCTTATCCCGTCACATCTCGAAGCGCAGGCGCAGACAAGACGGGAAGATGCGCCTGGATAACGACCACTCCAAATCATCACAATCACCATCGCGCAACTTTGCAAACGGATCATCGCAGGCATCGGGGCCCAGGTCTCCCCTGGCCAAGGGTACGAATGGAAGTACGCATAGCAGAAACGAGAGCAATGGCTCGTACACGAATGGAGGGCCGGTAGCAAACGGGGGAACGGTACCTGCCACTTTCTTCGGCCATGACAGGGAAGAAGTGACGCGGATACTGATACAGAGCCTCACCGACTTGGGCTATCACAGTGCTGCGGGCGCATTGTGCAAGGAGAGCGGCTTCCAGCTCGAAGGGCCGACGGTTGCGGCATTTCGAACCTCGGTGCTGAACGGCGATTGGGAAGAAGCCGAGGAGCTACTGTTCGGGTCAAGTACATTTGATTCTGGGGGAGGAGTTGGTCTGGACCCGCCTTACGGAAAGCCATGGGGCAAATCAAGATCACGCCCAAATTCGCAGCGTTCTGCAGGCTTGACCCTAGCTGAGGGCGCAAATCGCGAAGTCATGCTGTTCTGTTTGAAGCAGCAAAAGTATCTCGAGTTACTTGAGCGGAGAGACCTAAGCAAAGCGCTTGCGGTACTTCGACAAGAGCTGACACCGCTTCATCAAGATGTAGGGAGGTTACATGCGCTTTCAGCGTAAGTCTTCATCCCCATGGCCACACAGCACACAGCTAATACCTCATAGACTTATGATGTGCCAGTCTGCCGAGGACCTCAGGAACCAGGCTCAATGGGACGGCGCTCGTGGCGACTCGCGAATGCATCTGCTCTCTGATCTCTCAAGTGAGCACTACATGACAAATCTCGATACTCCTACTAACATGCAAAAGGATCAATATCACCCAGTATTATGATTCCCGAACACCGGTTATCTGTTCTGTT